GCCCACGGTCCCGTACTTCTAAACCTCTTAGCCAAAGACTAGGGGTACATGGTCATCCACATGAACTCTCCAAAAGGAGTCAGGAAACCAATCTAAGGGGTCATAGGGTTTAGGGTATGTGAGAGAATGTAGTGTGTATAAGTTAGCCCCATCAAAACCATATCACCCAGGGTTAGTCCTAAGGTCTGACCATCCTATGGGGGACTCCACTTGAACTCCTTCATATTGACTCTACCTACTAAGTGCTAGAAGTCAGGACCAATATGTGGAACTTTAGGTTGAGCAAAGAAGGGTTTGAAATTTCTAATGGTGATAGTTCCTTTTCTAGTCCTCTAGGAATAGTCAATATAAAAGTCCTATGGCTAGACCTTAGGCTTTTAAAGAGGAAAAAACTAGACCTCAATAAAAAAATGATGTCAATAGTGTACTGAACAAAAATACTGCACATTTGGTTTTAACTAAATTAGCCAACCAGAACCAAGGATCTCTAAGTAATAATACTTAAGACAGGCTAAAAAATTGAACTTGAATTAAAGAGTTGAAGTCAAGTTGAGTTGGATTTTCCGACAGGGAATCTTAAGCAATAAATGCTCAAGACAGATTGAGTTTTAGAAAACCTAAGAAATCTTTTTGAGAAATTAAGAGAAAGAACTTAGAGATTGGCTTGGAATTTGAAATTTTACTTCTTTAATTTATTAAATTTTGAAGTGAGGAAAAGAATTATAAAAAAGACTCACCAAGAATTCTATCAAAAAAATGTCTAAAAGAGGATTTTGATGGATCAATATGATTTAGAAAGGGAGGAATGACTAGATCAAGAAAGCATGCCCTTTAGGGGTGGGGGGTGGTGTGTGAAACTTGGGTACTAGTTGAGGAATAGAGAGCCCCTAAACCAAGGATTCACAAAATTTCAAATTTCCCTATTACATTAAGAAATAAAGGAATGTTAAAGGGTATACCAGAAGGCTTATATCCAACCTAAGAGGTAAACATGTTAACTGGTCTTAAGAAGGAATGCCCATTACGAGGGGCTTACAACCAACCTAGGAACTAGGAATAAATACCTATGTGACCACCAAAGGGCCTACTCCAGACCTCGAAACTCATCGAAGACTAAACACATTAGGAGTGAATGCCCATTACGAATAGTCTCCTGCTTTTGAATAACTTGAAAAGCAATCTCTGCTCTTTTAGCTCGCTCCACTAGTCATCAATCCTCAAAGGCACTAACAATTGCCTAATTGACTCCTTCAAACCTAAAATAAATATGTAGCATTTATTTTTCACAGTTGATATCAGTGGTGGTGCATATCTTGGTAGTACAGTGTAAACTGCTTCATACTGCATAAATGTCTTTTCTCCTTGCACCAACTTGTTAAACTTGTTCTACATCTATCTTCGAGCAGATAGGGGTACAAGCCACTCTCTAAAAAGATTCAAAAAATCCTCTCAATTTACCATAATATTTGATATGTCCCCAGCATGTACTGACGCTGCCAATGCCACCACATTCTGGCTTCTCCTTCTGGCATAAATGTAGTTAACAGTACTCTTCTTTCATCCAAACATATCATGTTGTCTAATATCTTGCCTATTCACATCAGTCAATTTTTTGCTTCAATTGAATCTTCAGATTCCCTTTAATAATGCTGGACTTAAATCTTAAAATAGCTTTAAATATTTATCAACAACAACTGTATCATCCCCACCAACTTGTGGTATGGACTATTGAATCAAAGTCATGGTCGTCATCATTTGGGTCAGACCATTCGCGTTACATTTATAGTAGGTGATACTTCTTCATTTCTTACCATAATTTCCTCTTCTATAATCTCTGATGCGTTGAATTGACTGAATTAAAATAATTATTTAATTAGTGTTAATTGAAATTCTCAATTTTATTATTATTAACTTATGTTTGAATTATCATTTTTGCTCTTTCATCAAAATTACATTATTTAATCTTAAGTCATCTTTGATATAATTTTTGTCACGATCTAAGCTAGGGCTTGAAATTAACAAAGGTGGGAATAGAACAATGAGACTGTGAAAATTAGTTTTTCTATTATTTATTTTCTATCATTAATAGTTTATAATTCAAATAAAATAAAAGAGTCACTAAAAAAAGTAAATTAAAAAAATATAATAAAAGTTCTTACTTTAGCTAGGGTTGTCAATGTTTTTTATAAATATTTTCTCATCTGTTTCTCACATTTCAATCAATTAATTAAACTTGAAATGTTAGTTCAAAACAATAGTGAGTTAACCATATTTAGTAAATACTCGTACTTCAAGCTATAGTAACAAAATAAAAAAAATAATATGCTTGTAAGTTAAAATTTATTTAGATCAATATAAAACCATTTGATGATTTATACTATCCATATGGTCATTCAAGATGCTTCTAAACATTTGTTATGTCTTACTATATCGCTTACATATTCATATCTTTTAAATTTATATACAATTGTCATAAGAACATCTTCTAAAACGTATACTGATTAAGGTATTTCAATATTAATATGCTTTTCCAGTTACTTACACGGGTACCTTATCGTTCTCCTGCTAGTAACATAAAGGAGTGAACTCCATCATAACCAAATATGCACAAGCAATCACTTTATATAGTTCATAACATTTATATTTTCACATCATTCAATATGTAATATTTAAAATTATAATGCATAAAATTTTTTAAAAAGAGAGACTATAAACATTCATATCGAAATAACCAACAAAGTTTAAGAATAGATGAATCATAATGCACTAACAAAAAACAATTCATCTAACATTTTTAGAAGTTAAAAAAAAACTACTATAATTTAGAAGTAAGAGTCCTTGCTTTATGTTTTCTACCATGTATTCTTTTTGTTGTAACCCTTTCAATTGAACATCTATAATATTAGAAGTATTTATATTAATACATTTAATTGTGATTGAATAAACTTTATCTATTTAACATCGCAATTTAAATTAGGGATCCTTTATCAATTTATTAATATTTTTTCCTTATTTTCTTCTTATGATTTTATTTCACTTTGACATGCAAATATTACACACTCATGATTTGATAATTTGCCTTGTTATTATTTATTTATTGAAAGCTATCATCCAACGAGATATTTTATGTTTTGGCGTAATGGTATCACGATCATGTTTTATTTGTCTACATCCCAAGAGGTCACTCATTCTGAGAGTGCGCACAAGCACACGTAACTTTGAAGTTTTTGATGATACTCTATCATTACACCAAAAGGTGCATCAATGTTTAAGAATTCAACGTCATTCTACTTAAGGAATTTCACAATGTTACCTATTTAAATAATTGATGTTCTTAATAATGTTCTTAATCTAGAATCATTCTTTAGGAAGATACTTGTATCTTCAAATTAGTGTAATGCTCTGATAACAATTGTGACAACCTGAACTCTCGCTCATCAAGATATTGCCCTTTTTGGCATAATGGTCTCACAATTTTGTCTCATTGGTGTAATTAGCTTCCCAAGAGGTTATCCATCTTGGGATCTCTCCCACTTTGAGTACGCTTCATTTTGAATTTTTTTATGAAACTCCAACCATTACACCAAAAGACCGCTAAAAATTTAAGAGTTTAATGTCATTCTATTTGAGGGGCTTCACAATTTGGCCCCTCAAATAATATCATGAGTTTTTAATTGTACTTCAAATATTTTTTTCAGGCTCATTTAGTCTAGAAACAAAAACTTTTTAAGTGCGTCATTGGACATTTCATTTCAAAACATTTGTTTCAAATATAAGTTTATAAATCCCAAGTTTCAAATACTATAAATGTAATTTTCAAAGTTTTCAATTCAAATATTTAATTAAGATTTATACTTAAACAAATTCTTATTGATATAATAAAAATATAATGCTCACTTTCCTAAACTAGGGAGATCAACTAGTCATCAACCTCAACCACAAGCCTAAAGGAAATTAAAAATGGTCACCCATTATTGAAGGCACCCTCATTGAATATGAATAATGCCAGAGGTTTATGGAAGTTGCTTGTGGAGGTTTGACTGTGGTCAAGTTGGATGAAGTCACAACAGTGGTACAAAAATGAGAGAACAAGGCATAAATTTTGGGTTCCGGATTTAGGGGTCCAATTTGATAACATTTTTTTCTGGTAGAAAAGTAAAATAAAATAATGATTGAATCGATCATATCACCACTTTATCTAAACAATTAAGTTGTTTGTAATCAAAACTATTCACCAATTGCTAATGAATAATATTCTTGTAGGGATCACATACACATAATATAAAATAATAGCAAATATAAAAAGATAAGAGCATCATGATTTATGCATCTTGGTCAAGATGACCTACATCTTTTGGATGAGATGCAAAAACCTACTGACAAATCATGTTTAAATAAGCTTTGATCAAAAGTCAATGAAAGTTTTGATGCCCACATAAGCAAATCCTTAGCTCAATCACAATTCTTATGTATTCACATATCTCACACCTAATACGTAGCACTTTGGTGCTTCAAGCCTCTGCATGAAACGTCGTCGTTTTATATCTTAAAAATGATAATAGTGCCATTTTTTATGTGATTTTAAAGATTTGAGTGATATGTGTGTATATGAAAGTTTAGGTGCGAGGTATGTAAATATAGAAGAATTGTGAAGTATGTATGTAAATGCCCTTTTGTTTCTTTATAGTCCAGAAAAAGAAAGCATCAGCCGCACGAAAAATTATTCTATCAGGACATCGGTTGCAAAATTTGCATCCGGAGTAGTGGGGATGTGCCACATGATAAGTGGGCCCCACCACTCTAAAAAATCTACCCAAATAATGTATTACAATGAGGCCCACTTGCCATATGACAAGTGCTCACTGGACTCCGGACGTAAATTTACGTCCGATGTCCTGATGGAATAAGTGCTCCAGGCGCACAAGTGCACACAAAAAATGAAAAAATAAATGCAAAAGGAAATAATAATGAAGTTCTACAATTTGGAAAACATTTTCATGACTAAAGCTCTCAGTTTTCTTTGGAAAATAGATTGGTGACTATTGGAATTCGACCACATATATACAGTACTCACATCACTCGATGCATTCTGAAAAATTTAACTTTGCCTGATGATTGCCCAAAAACAGTAGTCCTGTGCTCCAATAAACTACTTTCAGCTTCTAAAAAATGGAAAAAAAAATAAAAAAAAAATAGAACCGGCCAAGAGCACGGATGTCGAAGATCGGGCAAGAAAATTATTAATCTAAAGATGAGTTCCACAGGTTTTGGTTAATTTTTTTCTTTTTTCTTTGTTTCCTTGAAATAGATGAGATGTATTTCAGAGTGCTTATCATCTGGAGCAAAGTTCTGTAACCTCAGGGATCAGGGCTGCTAATGTGTATAATATGAAGAAATCTGTTGGAACGTGAACAATACAAATCAATTATACAGAACTGAGAGATCATGTAGGAAAGACAGCGTAACATATTTGCAATCATATGCAATATGGTGAGGTGATTTCATTTTGAGAAATTTACATACGCAACGTACAATTCTTATGTATTTACATATCTCGCACCTAAACTTTCGTATTTACATACATAGCACATTGGTGCTTTAAACTTATGCATTTAGTTTGAGATAAATAATACATGAGAATTGTGTGCTATGTATGTAAATGCTCCTTTCATTTTCTTTCAGTCATAATAATGACTGAAATATGAAAGAAAAAGTATTTGAAGGATGTTGAAAGTTTTTTAAGAGTTTAAAATCAAACATTGATTTATAACGGAATTGAATAAATTTACTATTTCTCCAAAACATGTTTTTTTTCTAACTGAAATATTCAAATGAGCCTTTAGTGGTTGAGGAAAAGAATTTGCGCAAAATATAATTTAGCATCTCATGCGCAATGTAAATGAACGAAAGATTCATAAAATTGCTCCTAAATGGTTGGGATAAAGCTACTAATGATGATGGATGCGTGTATTATTTACCTCAGAAGAATAATTTATTGGTTCTAGATCTTTATGGGAATCTTTATAAAAGGATGCTCTAATAGTTGGGCAGCAGTAGGCCTTGAATTTGGATCCACCTGAACACATTGCGTGATGAAATCTTGTGCTTCCTTTGATAGGTGACAAGGGATAGGAGGTTGATCGCCACGACCAATCTTGAAGAAAGCATGTTGCTGCAAATGAGGAATTACTAATTAAAAATTAAATAAACAGTCTCATATATTGAAAATGTTTAGTTTCTTAATAATACGAAGAGAGTAGATAAAACGCCGTCAAAAATTAAAATGACGGTCATAATAAAACAAGAATGCTTCTAAAATTTTTGTTGTTTTCTTTCCTTTCCTAGCTTTTGGCTTCACTTTTGGATTACTTAATTGTAATCTCGTTATTGTTTCTGCTTTCTCTGATGGATGACCCTATAGGTTTTCTTTTGGGTGTAGTTGTTTTGTGGGTTTTAGCTTGAGCCTTCCAAATACTGCTGTACTTTATTTTATTAATAAAATTTTATTTGTTCTCAAGAAAAATACGCTTTTAAACTTTTTGTCACAAACACCAGATTGCCATGCCAACATACTATTTTCAGTTTTTTCATTTACTTTCTAAGAATTTCTGATAGTTTGAATATGAACAATGCAACTCATACCACTTGAGTCCCATTTTCAGTTGCTCTCAATTTGATATTTTGTTAAATTTATGCTTGGAAATATCTTGATATCTATAAATATAAAATTTAAGTTTGCCTATTAATTCTTTTTTATGCATGTAGAAACATACCTTCTTTCTCTAGTATATCATAAGAAATACCTGTAAAACGATTTTTGGTCATCAATTTAATAAAAGTTGCCCGGTCTTTCTATTTAGATATAAAGGTCTAATAGCTTTTTAAAACATTTTTGCTGGCAGTACTGAACTTTTATCCTCTGCTAAGTTTTTTTTATTATTATTTCTCCATATCTGTCTGATACTTTGATTAGCCTTGAAGTTCATATTACATGTAAGAGTAAGCCCATTATCAGTTATATATATGGCCACTCAAATTCTACTGTCCATTTCAACTACTGGTTTTCTTCAGCAGATGGAAAAGAAAGGATGATTTACATACATACTACCACACAATTCGAATGTAGTTACATATCTAACATCTAAAACTACAAATTTTACATTTACAGCACTTTACCTATGCATAAAAAAGTGTATTTCACATTTTAAAAGTTAGTAATAATTGCATTTTTGATGTGAAATGAAAGGTTTTAGTACTAAAATGTAGAAATCAATGTTTCGGTGCTAGATACATACATGCATAAATATTGTGCAGAATGTATGTAAATGCCCCTAAAACAAAAGGATTAAGCCTACTAGCTGAAAAAAAAAAAAACAAAAAACAAAGAAAACAACACAAAAAAAAAAACAAAAAATCCTTCATAATTCAAAAATATTTTTAAATTAATTGAAACTGAAGTTGCGTCTAACAAATTGTAATATAAATTTGACTATCAGAAATATGTGTTGAATACATGCATTTTTGAATATAATAAATAGAACTTCACTTACAAGACAGTCATCCACAATCAGGAACTACATAAAACAAGAAATGCAACTGAAGGCTTTTAAAACTGAGATTACTAACCCACTCCACATTAGGATAAGGAATCTGACGTGTCAACATCTCTAAAACAGTACAACCCAAACTCCATATATCAGCCGCATACCCATATGTCTTCTTAGGATTGACAACCTGAAAATAATAATAATATTGTTAATAAAAGAAGATCCAAAATGGTTGAAGACCCATGGAGATGTTTGTTTAGTAATATGAACTTAAAAACTAAATCCACTCTTAATCTGCCTTTGAAGTAAAACAAGAATCCTTGAGGTTCCTCGGATCAGCTGGATGATCTAGAGTGAAGAATGGTTTTATTACATGAACAATTTAATGCATACAACAACAACAACAACAAAAAACCTTAATCCCAATGAGCGTGGTCGGCTACATTAATCCTTTTTCTCTTTTCTCCATTGTATCCTACTGAGTGTCATATTTTCATTTAATTCTAATAAATTAAGATCATTGCTTATACAACATGCTCAAGCCTTTTTAGGTCTACCTTTATCATTCTCAACATAAGTCGAATCAAAAAGATCTCTCCCCTAATCAGATCATTAGATAGTTGGCGTTTAATGTTACCAGCCATCCAATAGGACTCTATAATCTTGTCTGTCACTAGAGCTACAACTCAGTTTTATGTGACCAGCCATCCAATACGACTCTATAATCTTGTCTGTCACTAGAACTACAATAACCTTGACTTTCACGGATACATTCGTTTCGAATTTTGTCTTCTATGCATCAAGCCACTCATCCACCTAAGCATTCTCATCTTAATAACAATTAACTTAGTTTTAATCTTCTCTTTTAAAGGCCAACATTCTGCACCATAAAACATTGCAGGTCACACCACCATCTTATAAAATTTTCCTTTAAATCTAAGCAGTAATTTTCTATCACACAATAAGCCCAACGCATTCCTCCACTTCAATCATCCAACTTGAATTCTACTAATAACATCCCATCTATATCACCATCGCTTGGAACAATAGACCCGAGATATCTAAAACAATCACACTTTTTAATGAATTGATCACCAATTATTACAACTCTGCCACTAGATCTATTACAACTAAAATTGCATTCCACGTATTTAGTTTTAGATCTACTAAAATGAAGACTTTTAGACTCTCCTATAGACCTCTATAATCCGAGTTTTTCCAAAATTTTTTCTTTAGTCTTATCCACAAGAACGATGCATCAGCAAAAGCATACGCCAAGGTAAATCCTCTTGTAAATTTCCAGTAACTAAAGCAAAAAGATAAGGACCAATCCCTGATTTAATCCAACTGAAATAGGAAAATATTTGGTCAATCCTCCTTCTGTTCAATCACAAGTAACAACTCTAGTATACATATCTTTAATGACTTGAATATAAATCATATCAACGCCTTTCTTTTCTAAAACTCTATAAAGAACTTCTCTTGAAACCTTATCGTAAGCTCTTTCTAAGCCAATAAAAATCATATGCAGATCCTCCTTACTCTCTTTGAACTTCTCTTGGAACTATTTAATGCTTCTTTGGATAAAATTTGGGTTGAAAATGTAAATATGAAAATCAATCCTCATGTAAAAGGAGAGTCATAGAGTCCCTTTTGGCTTGATTCCATCAACCACAAACTATTTTACTCATTATTTGCTTAGTTACACAAGTATTCTGCCCGCCATCTAAAAAAAAAAAAAAAAAAAAAAAAAAAAAAAAAACTAAGCACAAACACTCTCAAATACCTTACATGTTTGTATCTAATGAGTGTCGGACATAACATGCCAATGGCAAGCCATGATATGTCAGGTATGCTCAAAATTGCTCTGCACATGTTTAAAGATAAAATTATGTTCTAAGATAAGTTAGACATGACCAAACAATGTTTGGATATGTTGCAAGGATACGTAGATAACAAACAACTCCATCGTGAGATATCAATACATGTACAAAATATGTGATATATAATAGATAACAATTGATAATTACTCGTATTGAAGTGTTGCTAATAAATGACAATAATCACATAGATAAATCATTTATGTTTTATTAACAGTATTTGTTTTTCTTTCATTATTATATGCTTCTTTTGTGAATGATGACATGCTGTCGTGGTCATGTTGTATCAACGAGTGATGTATACGATATGGTAATATATTTCAATAAATAATATCTTTAATAGAAAATACAATAGATTATAAATTTTAAATAGAAAATTTATAAAATATAACATAATGTTTATGGCATATCATGTGCTATTTCTTATAGTTATGTCATATCAAAGTGGTCATATTATATCTACATCATGTCTTGAGTCTGTGCTTCACAACAAATAAATGATAACATGTTATTGAACTCGTTGTCGTATGCAAAATTTTGTTGCAATAAATTAAACTCATTCGAGTCATAACCGTAACATCACATGCTTGGACACAAACAAAATGAAAAAAACTCTATAATCTTAGTATGATTAACACCTAGATATGGTTCCACTTTTCATCTATAATATTTACAAAAAAAAGGAGCCTAATCAATTATAAATCATAAACATTAACATGTAGACCTAAAAAAAGCAATAAATGATAGCATCAACGACTATCCAAGGCAGCTAAAGAAGCAAAATAAGCAAAAGAATGAGCCAAATAATTTTTATCACATCTAACAGCTACTATGCTAAGAAAAGAGCGTCTAAGTAGATGATAGTGCTATAGATAACTCTGCAAGATAGACTTAATAGGCCCGGGCCCAGCAGGCACTACTAGTACTAGTTCAAATGACAAAACCTTCTTCAAGCCTGAGGCTAATAGAACAGGCCATAGAAAATCTACTTCATACAATAATGGATTTCAAAAAATTCCAACTTAAAATATAAGCTAAAAAAGCATTATTTTTTATGACAGGTGATCGCTACTTTGTTCTTTGATTTAATGATAAATGATGATAGGGCTAACCTCTGGTGCCATCCAATACACACTTCCTTTACATGATTTCAGATCATTGAGGTTGGACATCTGATTTGGAAAATATGAACACTAGGTAATATTAACAAACTATAAATTCAAGCCTCTGAAATGAGAATAAATAGATGTTTACCTCCTTTGCTAAACCAAAATCGGCAAGTTTGACAGATCCATTAGCATGAACCAATATATTGGCACATTTGATATCTCTAGAAAAAAAAAAAAAAAACTTTTAGTAATTGAAATAATAATATCGAAGAATAAGCTACAAAACATAAGTGAAAAACACAGAAATTTATGAGCAAAACCCTAAAATACTACAGGTAGATGACAAGAACTCACCACATTGAAGAAGCAGGTACAAGTGAGATTATTAACCTGAATATTTTATGGACTTGTCAGATCGCCTTTTAGCATGGGTTATCTATTATTATATTTCTCATATATTTTACATCATAATCACTGGAATCTACAAAGTTTTGAGCTTGTTTGACAAAAAAGTTCAAAAAAAAAAAAGCCATCCTCTCTTTTAACTATTAAGATCCTAACATTTTTCCTTGTATCAAGTGTATTTATTATAAACATTTTATTTCTTTTTTGAATCAGTAGCATTTTGAGTTTAAATCTATTACAACTAGAGTACTTGATATAGTATCATGATGTCCTGAAACAATGAAAGAGGAAAGCTAAACGATGAAATTAATATTTAGATATTCAATAACCTGTGCACCACATTCCGCTCATGAAGATACCGTAATCCATTTAAGATCTGCCTAGTATATGCTGAAACTTGAGTATTTCGTAGTCGATACTTATGATAGAGGGATGCAAGAGATCCTTGTGTGACAAGTTCAAGAAAGATAAATAATTTTGATTCTTCCTGCAGAATACACAATAACAAAATACTTATATATTAGAGAATGGACAATTCGGAAGGCAAACAAATGCAAGCCCAAATGGTAGCAAAAGTGAATATATTGCAGACTCTCTGTAACAGCTGCTACCACCAATACTGTTCAGCCAAAAAAATTAGCTTTATGCATGGAAAAAATCTTCAGAAAAATATCTAAACCGAAGAGCTTAACGTGATTTGTATCAGCAAATGTAGTCAGGCTACAAGGGTCATTGCTATCAATTAAAAAAGATCCATTCTCAAATTGTTATCACAAAAACTTTGGGAGGATCCATTATATGGAAGGATGATCAAATACTGCAACAATGGAGGCATACTAAGCACATAGCTTTTCTCTTTTAGATGAATTTCTTAAAACTCAAAATAATATGTAAGAAAATAAACAGTTGTTCATTCAGGTGCGATTATGTACCTGTACCTCTAAAATCTAAAATAGAACATTGATTACCCCTGTAGATGAAAGATCCTGTCTCTGAGGAAAAACTTAGCCTATTGTTATGCATACTATGTTTTCACTATGATACAAACTACCATATGATTGGGTTAAAAACAAAATGTTTTGAGCATAAATCGAACTATTAAATGATTAGGACTAACATGTACTGTTGGAACTGTCTTATGCCAAAGAAGGTTGTAAATTAAAACAAGTAATCCAGAAGCCAACAACTACTACCTTTAAACTCTCATAAAGTAGGAAACCATTCAGAGCTCATATAAAGTCATCAAAATAAAAGATACATGATATCCATATCATTACAAACTTAATCGCACAGATATGTCTGCAAAACTAGTCCGGAACATGAGAATAGAAGAAAAAAAAACACCCTTATCGACTAGGACAAAAAGCATTGTTGTTCTTTGCATTATTTAATAAAGCAAAATACTGGTGCTATAGAACTTCAACGTTAGCCATGTCAGTTTCTCAACAGTTTCAAGTGATCAAAAGGCAAAATTATTTTTCACAAAAAGCTGATAAAAAAGTTGAATAAGGCATTGACAGTTTTAGAGAGAGGTCTTTTAGAGAGAGGTCACAACAACTCCCAAGTTCCACTTAAAAAAGATAATAGAAATTAAAATGCTGTTATAAAAAACAATCATTAAGCAAATACTAAAATATAGGTAATAAGAGGTTCAACTACAAAGTGGATGCCACAAAACTTATCTTACAGTAACATATCTTGATTTGGCAATTAAAGAATGAAACAAAAGGAGAGCTCAAGAAGATCATTTTAAACACTGAAGATAATCAACATGTATCAGTGATATGAAAATACCTTATCTGTTCCATAGTAATGAACAATATTGTCATGCTCAAATTGGCTCAAAAGTGCAATCTCCTGAAGAATTCAAATTAAAAATCAGAAGATAGTTATGGATAAAGTGCATCTATGGTAAAAAAACATATTTCTAAGTTCATGCGCAAGGCTGGCACAGTTTATAAATTATAGCTACCCAGTATGGAAGGCTTGGGTAAACTGGAAAGGGAATGAATATCAAAATAACATGGTATCAATTTAACTTGCCTGTTCGAGTTGAAGAATACATTGCTGAGCACTGCTTCCTTTCTCAAGCAAAGAGACCTCTTTTACAGCAAAAAATCCACCATCACTGTAAATGAATTAAATAAATCTGAAAGTTCACAGGGAAGAAGCAAGAAGCAAATATAAACTGGTATTCATAAAACACTCTTGTATAGAAACTGGATTTAAAGCTGAGAAGAACGAAAGGTTGAGACTAGAAAACTATTCATAAGAAAACCAAACCTACAATTTTTTTATTTTTTTTTTGCAAAACCTACAATTGAAACTACCCCTCCCCTCACCACCCAGAACAGAACAACATAAGCTAAATTTAAACTATCCAAAAGCAAAGCAAGTTTTGTCGATGGCAATTAATAAATGAAATCTTAACAAAAAGTATGCTCACAATTCAATTTTCCTTCCAACTTAAGGAGGGCACAAACATGCCTGAAAATTGCAAATTCAACCACATACAAGTTATCCATAGGAATTAGAAAATTCTGAAATTAGGCCACCACCCACCTCTCTCATTTAACGTTACCAGCGACTAACTTATTTACAAAGTCCATATTATTTTTGTTTTTCTAGCTCCATTTTAGCACATTGAAACATGAAGCGAGATGCAGGTAAAGGATAGAAGACAAAGTAATTCGACTTACTCGCTGATCCCTTCGTACACTGTCCCAAAAGAGCCACTCCCTAGAAGCTGTCCACGCATCCACGATCCAATATTTCTCTTAATCCGTCCATTTGGCGATATCAAAAACATCGACTCCGTTGTAGTACTCGACGAATCATCATCATTTGAAGTCGAGAACGACCCGGTGCAATCCTCCGAGATCTCCCCTGAAATCGCTCCCATCTCGTCCATAGCTTCCCTAACTTCAACACCAACCCTCACCTTCTTCTCCTCATCCGAATCAAAAGACTTCCTCTTACATCCTTCATCACTCTCATCCGGTGGAGCAAATGATCTCACTATATCCCACGTCGAGCTCGTTCCGTCGAGCTCAGGCAGCTTCATCAAAGGCGGCCGCGCAAGAACCGACCTACCAGGCGGAGGAGAAAGAATCGAGACCGTAGCCGGGGAAGTGACCAAAGCCGATGACCGCAAGGTCTCCGCTCCAGGCACCTTCGCCTTCGTCTCAGCAAGGCAATCCAAAACGGAAGGCAAAATTTGAGGCGGCTTAGACGAGCTCTCGCATTTGACAAATGGGGATCGAAGAACAAGATCACAGGAGGATCGAGCCTTAAGGGAGGCCTCCCATGCGGCAGCAGGGATGGCGAAATCCTCAGGGCCGGAGAGACCTAAACTGCGGCAAAGCAGATCGATCTCGCCCTCGACGCTGCCGCCAATGCGAAAGCTTGTCTGGTCCGAGTAAGCGCCAGGCGAGAGATCGAGACAGTGGGTTACCAACGCCGGCGAATTCCTCCATGAAGGCGAGGCCCACGGAATCTCATAGTTGATCTTCTTACAGGCGTTACGCTGCTCCAGCTTCGGCCGCCGGACCGATTTCGCCGCCGTCATCTCGCGCCGGCGATCGGCCTTCTTGCTGCCTAAAGAGAACATCGGCCGCCGCCCATTAGGAGAACGGGCTGCGATATGGAGTTGGGAATGCGGAACCGAGGAATGGTTCCTGAGCACTCAATTGAGGAATCAGCATCAAGGAAAGAAGAAGAAGAACGCGGAAGAAGAGTGAGATAAAGCAGGGAAGGCACATTTGGCGGGAGAACCGATTATGGCGTCGCAGGACTGTGCCGGCTTGGCATGGCGCTTCTGTCCTCTTCCTCCCGACGTGTATTTCTTGTCCGGAGACTACGATGGTCTCGCTCTGCGAATTTACATTAAAAAAAACAGAAATTTACATTTAGATCACCCAAAACATTGATATTTACAAATAAATAATCCAGGCTATTATTTTTGGGAAATTTACATGTATAGCACCCAATTCCTATGTATTCACGTATCTCACATCAAAACTTTTATTTTTACAAATACAGCACTCAATTTACTGCTCATATGGGTGTAAACAAGCCGAACACGAGCTGAGCCTGCCGAACACGAGCGAGCCTAGGCTCAGCTCGTGTTCAGTTCATTTATATTTCGAGCTCAAAAAGTGCGTTCGTGTTCGGCTTGTTTGTTTAGCAAGTCGAACACGAGTCGTTCACAACCAAAGAGTCGTTTTGACAACCCTAATCGCGTAGCCATAAGATGTTAAGGATTGAGGCAAGATTTAAAATATCATTTGAATCTAATTTAATAATTTTAATTCTACTTTCTTCATTAATACTCTTAATTGATTATAAATCTTTGTAACCTTGTAGTCAATTAATTTTTTTTAAAAATACTACTCATCAAAGATATATATATAATTGATTAATAGTATTTCGAGCCAAAACAATCCGAACACGAACGAACAAAAATTTGTTTGTGTTGTGTGTTCGGCTCGTTAACTTAGCGAACGAGCCTAACACGAGCTTCTTAACGAGCTGAATGCGAGCTGTTCGCGAATAACGAGCCATTTTGACAGCCCTAACTACTCATCGCACTTTTTCATAGTAAAATTTATTTTTTTATACATAGGCAAAGGGTTATATTTTTAAAAAATTAAATTTTAGAGTGAGATTCATAAATACATAAGAATTGAGTGCTAGTTATGTAAATTTCTGTTTTTAGGTTTTAAGGGGGAATTGGGAAAATAGATGAAGGAGAATATTTACATATATACCACTTGGTTTATATATATTTATATATGAAGCATAAAAATTTTAATTTATATATTTATATGCCAGGTATGCTGATTTTTATAAATTAAATTAATGATAACTTTAATGTGATTTAGATGTTAATATGCAAATTCATGAGAATTGAGTGATGTGCATGAGTTTGGTCAACATATTTGTGCAGATAATTAATAGGGAAAATTAAGATATGTTGATGATAAATATAAGTTAAGAAAATATAAACAAGAAAGGTCATACATTTTTGCCTTTTTAGGATTATTGAATTCAAATCTGTTCCTTAAACTTTGCTCGAAGAATAGAGCCGGGATTTTGGTGGTGGAGAAAGAGGGACGGAATAAGAGAGGGTTGTCCTATCGGTGGTAAATTGGGGTCGTCTCGAGGATCAGGGGCCCTTTTTATTCCACACTAGTTTGGGTTACAAGTGAGGGAGAAGTGGAGCAAGCTCCTCTAAAGGGACTCTTTTTATATGTCAAGGGTGGATATTACATTTAAGCCTTTCTTATAAAGAGGGTCATGAGGAATACTCTGGTCTTGTTTCTGCTCAAATCGGTCTTTCTAGAGTTATTTCTCGTTGTTGGATCCGATGGCTTCAGGTGGTCGGGTGGCAAATAAATATCAAAGTTTAGGTGTCAACAGTTATTGAAGGATAAAAAGTTGGGTGTTGTGCATGTAAAAACCTTCATATAATCTATATACCTTTTTTCATATAAGAATTGATCGGTATGTATGAAATTTTTTGTTTAAGAGGTGGTTGGCCCGAATAGCGGCCAACCAGAGCAGTGATGCCCATTAGAATGCGTGTGTATAAATATGTGTAATTACTTCAATTTCAAACTCTATGGACGGCACCAAATACTTGATTCGTCTCGCAATTATGCAGATATTTAATTCCATGGCAAAAAACTTGACCCAGTTTAATTATGTCAGCTAGTATGCAAAACAAATATGTTGTAGAGTTTAGAATTTAATTTATAGATCACACAATGGGGATACTACGCAAGTACATGTATCGTTTCAAGTAGTATAGAGTTTTCTCTTACGACCAGAGTATCGATCCCACGGAGAAGCGATGTAAAAATCTCTTAGGCTAATTTTAGTCTACTACTGTCAGGCTTAAGTTTGGAATGACAATTAAGAGAGTTTTTCTAATAAGGACTCCTAAATACGAACCTAAATCTAAAGATAAGTCTATCTAGAGAGATTGGTTTAGAGAATTTTGAGATTTTACAAACTACATTTCACATGCGATGACCTAGATAATGTGTAAGAATGAAACGCTTAGAATTTAATATGACTAGAGACAAATAAGAGCATACTTGTTCTTTATCCTCTCCTAAGTGTATAAAGAAAATTGGCTAATCTAATGTTTGTTTCTTAAATCCTTGGTTATGCTGGATAGATTCTAGTCTCTAACCTCCAGATTACCCATTGTGTTCTCTCTATATGATTAACATCTAGTCTTAAGTCCGAAACACTAGACCAAATTGGTTAAGAATTTACGTTGTCACCCTAGAAACACTAATTCTACACCCATCAAAACTTATCTCCCTATTTATTTGCACTCACCTTAGAACTTGGTTCACCTCCATCCTAAGGTTAGTGTGATACTCACAAGTTGAGTAAAATCATAGCTCTCTCGGATCATTATGTTTCGCAATGGATTTAAACGTTACAAATGACCAGTTTGTAAAATAAATTAAGAACTTGTGAAAATACCATCACATTAATAAAATAAGAGAATTTATAAGCAAATCTAAATTCCTAAACATGCATCCAATTTATTACAAAAGAAAAATAAAATGAAAATGATAACATAAGCAGAAAAATAACTAATAAAATTACGTAATAAATTATGTGTCAACTAAGACATGTCTACCTACCCTCTTTCCGAGTGTATAGGTACGCTTAGTATTTAATTAGCTTTACACAACTAGTTGTCACCTAGAAGCTCCTAATATAAACAAATCATGAATTATATTTCCATAAAAGTTACACTGCCGCCTAAACTACTTCACTATAGCCAACCGGACAATGTGAGTGAACTCAAGTTGCAAGATCACCACTCTCCCGAGTCTTAGTTTCACTTATAACACATAATATATTGTCACTTAAGTTATGTCAATAAAGCAAAAAAGATATTATTCATCACATATAAATAAAAATTATTCTATCTTAAAACAAATTTTCCCACTCTTGTCACTACTTCATATTAAAAGAAAATATTATATAAAACTAATCACGAAGTATGGATAAAAAAAACTTCATTAAATAAAATCAAATCAACTAGAAAGTGTTTACAACAATTATAAAACAATGAAGAACACAATACTTAGTTTTTCATTCTAAAAAAAGATCAAAATCTTTTCAACAAAATATCTCGTTGATCCATGCAATGCTCATACAATTCCTTGCACATATCTCTCAAAATCCATCACCAATCTTTCTAGAAAATGTAGAAATATATATCTCCTTGCATACACACACACATACACAAACACACGCCTCTTTGAAGAGGCACGCTGAACTCTCACTCCAAGCCTCCAAACTTCTTTATATCCCCACTAAAAAAGACGAAAGCCCCCTTTTTAAAGAAAAACCAAGCACCTCCTCATTCCAAAAAACACGTCTATGCACTCCAAGAGACACGTCTTTTTACTCCAAGAGATGCACTTCTTCACTCCAAAAGCCTTTCTATGTGTCGAGGTTCATTTAATAACTTCGTGGGGCGTGCATAGCTGCCCGGAACCTTCTAGAATAGCCTGGAACCGTTCAAACCAACCCAAATCGGCTTTGAGTCGTTACTAGCACCTAGGCGCCAGAATATGGTGCCATGGCGCCACCCTGCTGGCTACACCCCCGTTTCGCACTGTTTTGCCCCGTTTCAACTCTAATCCACTCCAAATCTCTTACTTATATGATAAACATGAAAGTAACATTTCTTTAAAGTGTAATTTCATTCAAAAATATATGATAAATGTAAAGGAGATTAAGAATAGAAAGACATATCAAATGGCGTCATATCAGAATTTTCTTCCTTGCTCAATTTGACTCTAAATTACACCATTGTTGCTTCATTTTCTGGAAAACTTCATTTTTTGTTTCTGGAACCAAAAACACGCAAAATATCTTCATTTAAAATACAATATCATTAAAAGAATGGTAAAATATATATAAAAAAGTAGCACATTTTTAGGCGGCTGGACAATAAGCGGTCGTCCGATCACTGAGGTGACAAGATTTGGGTGTTACCTAAACAATTTTTTTTGTTTTTTAAGAGTTGGAAGACAACGGCGGTTGGCCAAAGTGGCGAGGCGACCGACCATATATATACATTTTTGTTGGTTTGCAGCTTCGGCGTAAGTCCCATTTGTCTCGGATTCGAATACATCTGGGTCAAATTAGCACATATATGGTGGACAAACACAAGTTTTTGCTCAACTTTTTAATATATATATAGTCCTAACCTAGCACACTATTTATCGAATAGTGTCTTGGTCACAACATCTAAGTGCATGTGCAGTGCAAGGGGTTACCGTATGACTTTGACGGGGTAACCGACACTTGCCCCCTCCTAAAGATCCATGTGGTCTAACATATGCCACCCAAAAGGATTTTTAAAGTCACATATGACCTATTTTTGTTAATTACATAATTTTTAAAATAGAGCATATATCATAAGTAGAGAGAATATAATAGTTTTTTTTTTTAATTACGACCATTAAATGTGGGTTTGTAACTTGCAACGTAAGATATGCTAGAACTCTTGGAATCTTAGCACAGTCATACGTATGTTGACCCTGATGCAATAACTCGTATTTCTCACCAAGATTTACTCAGCAAGCATTACTCGTTAAAACATCGTGATCAACAATGGGCTCTCTCACCTAATGTCCAATTTGCTATCAAACATAGGCCATACACATTCAATCATGCAAGATGCAAATGACAAACTTGTGACAAATGTAATTTGACGCAATCAAGTGGGCACACAATCTGCACTCAATGGGTTCAATGGTTTTAGAGCGGACTCGAATTTAGCACACAACGTGAGATGCTTACAGCATTCAAGTGTGATGTTAAAGGAGATGAGGTGGTGCGT